AGTTTAGGCGGAGACGCTTTATTTTCCGATGGAGCGTAACTTTTCGTCGAAGTTCCCGCTCCCGCGTGTGACTCTTCTAACGGACAAGACTAAGAGCTCAGAACTCCGTTGCTTTCCATCGTGTTGGGTCATTCGCCATCAGATACAAGTAGCCGAGCAGCGATCGCGGTAATGAATATTTCGAACACGAAATCGAATTCAGTCACCGCTAATCATGGCGAAACGGAAATCAGACGAAGTTCAATCTGAAAGCTCAGGCTGCCACCTGAAATCGGCGATAGTCATGCCTTGCCACGTGGGAAATGCGGTGATTTCCGCCTGATTTCGAGCGGAGATGATTCCTGGTCTCTCCTCGGAAGAAATAGTCATGCCACGATGGTATGATGCCATGGGACTAACAATGTTGTACGTGGAGCACTCGTTATGTGAGAAGCACGCGATACGCGGTGCTCCTGGTGCAAGAAATCGTATGGAGAGATGGTCTCAGGAGGAACTCTTTGTAGGTGAATTTTCTGCCGAGATGGGAGAGGCTCACGACAAAAATAATGGCACTCTGCAAACTCACCGAATGAACCCTCCGATCGAGAGACGTTTGTTTTTGATCCGGAGCAAGCGTCCATGTCGTTCTCCGGGGAGAGTTTGGTGAATTCAGCTGTCGATCCTCGTCTTGTTTTTTTATGCTGGAGTGAATAAACTGGAAAAACACTAAAGGGAGAACGAGCGCGCAAGTCGCTCGCGCGGAACTTGAAAGCACCAATGACACAAAAAATGCGGAGTGGGTGGAAGAATATTGGTTCGGTCCCCAACGGAGCAGATCCGAATTCCTGTCGCGTCATGACCGACACTATCCTCGTCACGACTCGCCCTTGCAGAAATTCTGTTTGAGACTCGCCTAAACTAAGGATCAAGCCGAGAACGGAGTTGAAGCCAATGCTCAATCTATTTTGAGGCCTCACCCCTACAGTCGTAGAAGAAGACACAGAATAGATCTTCTGATTCTGAGATCGCAAACGAAATTTCGGATCTATGGCCGGATGTCGGGAGTTTCGCTCTGGAATCCTGAGGTGCGTTTCATACGCAAGTCGGTCCACCCGGAAGCCCCCGGGATCGGATCTCAGGAAAAACACTCCAAACCGCCGGAACGTTTCCTCTAGCCAAGATTGAGAGCGATTGCTGTGAAAATGTATGTGCTTGGGGGTTCGACCGTTATTATCGACCACGGAAGACCGTGAGCGGCCTCGGAGTTTTGATGCACACTTCACTCGGTACACCAATGCGAGCTTTGCACCCTGCGCACGTAGCTCGCCCGAAAGAGATTTTCTGCAAAAATCCACTCCTCGTGCTCGAGCTGCTTGAACAGATCATCGCTACTCCTTTCAGAATATAGCACCTTGGGAATATTTAGAACGAGACCCGTATCGTCGTACGACTCAAGCGGAAGAACACTTACACCACTCGGGAGCCCAGCGGGTCTCCCGAACTGGATGTGGGTGTTGCTTGCTTCTCACGAAGAATTCCGGCAGGGCCCCACGAGCCTTGGGCTTCCGATTCTGGAGGGAATCTCCTTGAATCTGACCGCCACTCTGTTCCGAAGCTACGCGATGATGTTTCATCGCTACCCTAACTCCTCCGAGCTCAGAAGGGAGTCGCTTGTCGGAAGATGAATTTCGTCTCGGGAGAAGGTGCGAATCTGATCGCTGACGATGGAGCTCGGAGGAGAACCCCGGGGCTTAGCAATCAGAATCTTCTCCCTAGGAATTGTCGTACAGATTGTCCCATACTCAACTCCCATACCGATGGGTCCAGACTCCGAATTGATTCGTTCAAGCCTTGGATCCACCAGAAGCGGAATTTCAATTCGACGAGTTTCCGGAGTCTTCTGATTCCTTTCCTGACGACGCGTCGGAAAACGTGTCGAGTGGCTTCTCCGGCGCAAATCAGGGCCTGTGGGGTTCTTGCAGTCACTCAGAAACGGAAGACTTCTGTTGAAGCGCCACGTTTTGAATACAATAGACAGATTTCCAGAAACGAGGTGTACGAAATCTCGCCCAGTGATTACTATGTATTAGAAATTTTGTAATTCTCACGAATAGTCGTTGAAAACTGATATCTACCCGAATCGTCAGTCAGAGAAACTCATTTTTAATCTTGTTTGGACCTCAGCCATGACGTGCAAGTCTTGAGAGAACGAAACTCATCGAAACGACAAGATCTCTCCTCATCGATATAAAAGCCGCGTAAGTGGGAGAGACAAGTTTCTGGACAGAATGCTGTCCTTCGTGTCGCGCGTGGCTGCGGCTGTCGCTGTCGTGGGTTCGATCCCGCCAGTGGTAGGGACATCGCATCCGGATGATCATTACTACAGTGTCGACCAGTATGCGCGATTTGGTGATGTTTTCGGCAGGATACCCATAGGAACAACCATCGGTGAGGTGACCAAATCTTCCCCAGTTCTGCAAGTGCGATTCCCGGCTCCCTATGCGAAGAGAGTCCCCCCCTACTCATCAGGTGGTGCCGACAGAGCACGTCTCTTCGCTCTAGCGTCGGATAATGCACTTTCCGCCAATCACTTCACATCGATTCCAAGGACTGCCCCGATCTTCGCCGGGGCCTTCGTCCAAGAGCACAGTACCTCGATATACGGCATAAATTCGAGAAGTCCACCTCTGGTCGGAGCTCGAGGCGTGGAATACGCTCCCGATGCGAGCAAACCCTACGATCCGGTAGTTCATCTCAACGAACCCGCGAAGATGATTTCCCCCAGATATCATGCTCTCTCCGGGGCAATCGCGAGTGTTGGTCAGGTGGCTCTGGACAATAAAAATGATCCCAGAAAGTTCGGCTACAGAGTCAGAGCCTAATCGCGAATTCGATTTCGAGAAATTCATCTGTGAAAAGTCATATCATCTGTAAGGTGTAGGAGTTCTTCCGCTCCCCAAGAGTGCTGTGAGTATCAGAGGCGGAAATAAACGACCCTTGGATGTTGTCACGAAGCCAAACCTGATTAATCAATTTGCTCGACCCGACTAACGGAAACCTTGGTGTAACGGCGCGAAGCCAGAATCTATATCGTCATCAACGATTCCGGATTTCATCGGGGATGGTCTGCGTCTATAATGAAGCTCACTCCTTGATTCAGTCAGTCGGAACTGCTTGCGAGCCTAAGGATATGTCTTTGCTCCCAGTCTCGTTTCTTTCGCTGTATCATGTTCGCTAAGGGGGGTATGTATGTTCTATTGAACGCCCTCGGGGAAATATTCAGTTCCACGCATTTCGTGAGACGTCCTTGATATACAATGTGTCGAATTCCTTACATATCTCATTATTGTGCAATCATAGCGATCTCCCCACCCTGTATTCAAACGCGCGCGCGCTTTCGTCGCGTGGCAAAAGCTCCTTGTGGAAAAATAAAATGTCAGTATGTAACTCGTCTCAGCGAGAGCGAGATGGTTTTCATTGTGAGCCGTACCCAGCAAGAATTGAATACCACCCTACATAGTGCTCTAGGAACCGAAACCCCAGGGAATCCACTGCCGGATTTTTCACAATATGAATCCGCCGACTGCCCACGGCAACTGCTTCGCGGGAGAATAAGATACATGAGATCGATCTTGAAACGTGTGAGACGACATTTTATCAGGCGTAGCTCAGCGTCCGACACTTCCCTTGAATGTGGACGGGTGAGGCCAGAGCTCGAAGATTGGATGGTCGATCCTGCATGAATCGATCTCTGCCTATCGAGACTGGTCAATCCCTTCGGAGGAGAGTGGTCGGTCACTTTGCAAGAGACTCATGTCATCCGTGACAGTGAGAACCCGAGAGAGTCCAGCTCCGTCAACTCGAGAGGTAAGCCGCCTACCGTGGATTACCAAGCTTAGAAAACACTTCCAGTACATGTACAGATGCTCGCCCGAAAGTGCTCGAGAATTCCAAGCACATTCGTCGGAAGTGATCTCCCTTCGGCTTCAGGCTCACGCAGGAGCTCTCGAGAACGGTGAAGTCAATGAACCTCCGGCTCGCCGGGTACCTCGCGATGAAAGTCTACGATCACTCGCTGATCTCCTGTCATGGCGTTTTTCCCTGAACACCCGAGCCACTTCCACTCAAGGAAGCGATTCTCTTCCGGATAGCAATCTCTTCCGCTTTAAGATGAACTAGCCCACAACTCAAACGGGAAATCATTCATCAAGGGATATGATCGACCGAAATTCATACGAAGGACCGTTTATCAATGAATGAGCCGATATGAAAGCTCAAGGAAGCTTTGAAGCTCCGTGAACATTCTGTGAGTCTCGGACAATATTGAGGATCCCGCAAAGATCAGGAGATAGAAACCGCTGATCTCCAGATCATCGTTCCTGAAGGTCCCTTCCCCTTCAGCATCACACTGCGGGGTCAAAGAGATCTCGTAGTCAAAGCGTGACGGCCGGGATCGAGTCCAGATCATGAAACAGAAACAGAAGCGGAAGGTCCGCCCGGTACTGCTGAAAGCTCCAACAGAGATCATTTTTCGGATTTTTATCATTGCCTACACGTCCCCACCATCGGTGGCCGCAATCGTCCAGGAGTCTCTGATCCCTCGAGCTGAACGATTCCCGGAATACGCACGAATGTGAGCGTCGTGGAGTTTTCCGATCTCGCGATCCTAGAGCCGAGAGGATGATACGTTGATTATTAACCGCTTAGTAGCGAGCTTAGCAGACATCAGAACGGAGCGGTCATGATGATGATCTATGCTGAATTCTTGCGCCACCCCGGGAGTCGTCGGATCGCAGACTCTAAGTCAGGACGACGGTTCCGATCGATCCCCGAGACGAGTCTCCCAAATGATATTTCACATTGATCCCGTGCAGGGTATCGTTGACGGAACAGTGTGGCGGAACGCGAACCACGTATCGCGAGGAGAGCCGCACGATCACAGAATTTTCAAATGGCCCGGGGAGCTAGATGCATCCTGTGATCGGTCGTCTGTTAGACGCAGCAACACAAAACACAAAACATTGGAGTGTTGATCACAGAGTGCGGCTTGCTGTTTGCTACTGCACACAACATGGCTGATACCGCAATTGAGACCCTCCGCGAGGAAATCAAAGGTTTGTACTTTTGCCAATCATTGACTGCAGTTATTGACGACAGACATCACTCTCAAGACTTCCGCGAAGCTGTCAGCCCGAGAGGTAGTCGAGAAATTGTGTACTTCCTGCGGTGGTGGAGGATCCTTCCGGCCGGGGGCACCCATTCGGTGAGCGGCGCGGCGTGGATGCGAGCTAACTGCGTTCCTGTTGGGAAGTTTCCAGCCTCAAACTACCGTAGCTGGTCTCGGAACGATGCTCGTCCGCGCTTATGATGTCGAAATTTTGTGTACCAAAAGCTTCGTCGTTGGCGGAAGGTGACTATGTCCCAAATCTTCACAGAGACGCGATTGACTAAGAACGGAACATGGAGAGATTCTGCTTGGATCACGCGAAATCCCAACTCCGTAAACGTTTTCCCGTGACCCCACCTCGCATCTGCCCTGAAGAGTGTCAGTGCATGAGGAGCAAAACTTCTGGATCTCACCTCCGGCTCTGTCCCGGGAGCTTGTGAAGCTCCGGGGGCGTTCTCAAGTCGAAGGCCTCTTCTCCAAAGTCGACCGCGGACAAGAGATGTCGAACCTCGCCGGTGGATATCTTTGCTGAGTTTGGAGGTGGAGCGGCGTTATTATCCCAGACCTCAATTGCTTTGTCTCGCGTTCCTGTCACGTTAAAAATCCACTCAACGTCGCGGAAGAACGATTTCGGAGAGAATGCCGTGGATACAGAGCGCTCGTCTCGAGCTAGAGAGTCCCCGGATCACGCTTCGCTTGTGATTTCGGAATCCTTTTTGTCGGAGATTGGTCGCTTCGTCATCCGTCGCAGCGCTTGCGGCCGATGCTCGCTCCTTTCGTGACCTTGGAAGCCTATTCCTTATATTCGGCGGAAGTAAGAACCTCACTTTTTCTCCGTGAAAAAGTTAGGGTATCGATACGTCATAGGGGGAATTCGAATCCGAAATCAAATCCCTCCTCCGTGATGCATGCCGCGGTCTGTAAAAGCGGAATCCCCGAGTCGGTCGTCACCTCCGTCATTTTACTGCCGTCCCTGACTGCGTCGGTGTTCCAATTTTTGTTCCCCGCCTCTGGCGGAGTCGCCATTGCTTATTGATTCGGCATCCCCCTCGTTGCAACAATCGCGAAGAGAAAACGAGTAAGTATCCAATCGTAAGAGAGCCGGGAAGATTATCAATATGCGGTCGAGTCCTTCTTCGGGTCGCGGCACCTGATGCGAGGATGCCAATGCGGTGTCAGGTAACACGTCTGGGGCGATGGATATCTTCAAGTGTTGCCGAGGAAGGAGACAACGATAACCATTGGCACTGGTGTGGATCGAAACCCAACGGGATCGAAGCATAATTTTTGCCAAGTAGCTCCACGTTTCAAGGATCTGTTCAGCCTGAAAATCATGGAAACTTCCCTGTAGAGAGGGTATAAAAATTCTTCTGGGCACGCCCGCATCGATTCGAATCGAGAACGATGATACTCTCCATCGATGAAAGAAGTATTCCACTTCTGGTCCGTTCTAATAATTCCTACCTGGGAACTTGAGCCCCCAGTGTGTGCCGTCAGGATTCGAGGCGGGCTCATACCATCGCTTTGCTCCGATTATTAGGTTCGGAGCTCGGGAACGGTCTCATCGCAATCGCGGAATAATGTCGCGCGGCGGTAAGCCTGCGCCTCTACACCCCCTGTTCCCTTTGTCGCTTCCCTGACCCATCGTCCGAACAGAACAGGTTGCTCGTTTTCATTAACCCGCTGCGGGATCAATGCGGTCGAATTGAAATCTGAACGAAGGAACGAGGAGCCGGCCTGGCTCACGGGACTCGACCGCGAGGGGAGAATCGAGAGATCCGCGGCAACTTTCGGCTCGGTAACGAACGTGATCCTCAGGCATTACGTTCGACAGGTCAGCCTTGAGAATTGGCTGAATTCTTCGATGCAGCGCCTGTAAACTCCGAGCGACGGAGGTCCAGCTTGACAAAGCTCGAAGGCGTTGAGCGTACGACAGATTTGTCGGACATCTATCGGCTCACGCTTCTGCGGCTTCTCCTGTCACCGCATGAAATCGGTGTTCGTCAGTTCCTCAGGGCAAATTCGCATGCGATCTCAATCAATGAAGCGGGGTGCAATTAAAGATACACATCACCAGCCTTCGAATGAAAGTATGAATGTTCAAAGTCGGGCTCGGCCCATCCTAAGAACACGATCGGGAATCCCGCTCGCGGCGATTGAGCACCACCACGCGGATCCCAAATGCGGAGCCATATGTGTATCACTCATAGAGGAAACGATCATAGCTTCTGGTTAACTGTTCCCGTCATTAGGACGATATCTCAAAGTTGACGATTCCTTACAGAATTCCTCAAAGGAGCTGATCTTCTCTCGGCTTCCTCGAAGAAGGTGAGAGCCCATCTGAATGGAAAGTTCGAGTGCGACTTCACCAGCCGCAAGCAGGAAATCGATAAGGTCGTTATGGATGTCCTAACCGAACTCGAGGGAGACGAGAAGAAAGATTCGGAGGACGATGACGACGACTACTCCGAAGAAGATGAAAAGCCCAAGAAACGGATGCCGCCACCACGAAAACCAGCGCCCAAGAAGAAACGTTCCAAAGGCTCAGACTCTGATGAAGAGTCGGAAGAACCCAGCGACGATGATGATTCGGTAATTTTGACCCGCTTCATTCCATCAATTTCCCTGCTCTGCGAAGATCTCTCCATCGGGGGCAGCCGATTCCCACGATTAGACGAGAATGGATCCAAATGATATGATAGCCGATCATGAGTTCGCAAGTCTTTAGAACTTTTTTTTTCTCCTCATATAGGAAGACGAGCGGAAGAAGAGGAAGAAGAGAGCCTCGAATGGGAGTGCAAAGGCCCGCAAACCAACCACAACCACCAGCGGAGCTGGCGGTAAAAAGGCCAAAACGGGTTATATGAAGGATCTCAAGCTCTCGCCTGAGCTATCCGCGGTGATGGGGGAGGAACACATGTCAAGGAACGCGGTTGTGAAAAAGATGTACGCTATCGTCAGGGAGAGAAGCCTGCTAGACCCGGATAATCGTCAGTTCGCGATTTTGGACGAACAGTTGCAAGAAGTGTTCGGTCAGAAACGAGTCCGAATGTTCGGAATGCTCAAGCATCTCAAGAAGCACTTCTCCGCAGCTGATTAAAATGTAGGGAGGAGGCTCGCTTCAAAAGACTACGATTGAAGATTTCACTTCACAAGAAAAGAGCCGGGAAGTCTGAGCCGATCCTCGATGGAACTCGATGGTTTTCTCCGTCGCGTCTTCATTCATTTCGGGTCAATCAGTGGTCTCTGGTCGCCGTTTCTCCAACACACACACTGTCCAAAACTCCCCTAATTATTATTATTATTATCGATATGGAGCGGCTTTTTTTGGCGCTCTATTCACCTTCCTGAGTTATCATCAAGCGTCGATTTTCGGTGTACATACAATAAGTCCTCAACGCTGTAGACTGAGAGCATATCGGTGGATGGGAACAATTGTATCGGAGGTGACTTCGAATTTGTGTGCGGAGTCAAGACACTGTTTCCGGACGTTCGATGCAGATTTTTTTCTCAAGAAAAGCATGTGCAGAAAATATCATGTATCACATAAGTTACGGAACGCGAGGCAATCAAGAGTTCCTTCCGGATATCATCTCGAATCCTCAGATGGGGAAAATTTCAAAGGCAAAATATGAGGATGGAATAAATGTCGAAGGGAGCACGTGGGGATGATCTCGAACGTGTACCTACACTCAGACAATTCTGTCAATATTTGGTTTCTATGAGCAACTCATCAAGGGGCTATCCAGCGTTATCGCGGAGGCTGATCACAGCTCGGAAAGCATGTCTCATCCAGCATTAGCGGTCACATGCGACACTACCGTCATAGCCGGAGGCGTATTCGGAATGTTGTTTCCGCAAGACAGGGTGGGGGGCGATGAGTTGGAAGGAGCGAGGGAGGGTTGAGGATGACCTTCTCTGTAAATTCAATGTCTGCGGGGAGCGGGAAAACTCCTCGAAGGGTCTCCGCCCCCTTTCCCTGTGACTCGGTACGCCGCTGAATAGGATCGGAATAATAAGAAAATTTAGAGACTGGAAAAAGAGGGACATCGAGTCGGAAGAGGGATCTCCTCAGCTTGATCGCGCACGTCACTCCTGTGTAGCGTCCGGGACTGTGAAATTCAACGTGAATATTACCCTTGAACAGCTGCTTCATCAAACGTGCGGCTGGGCTTGGCCGATGCTGCGAGTATTCAGAGCGCTCTGGCCCACGTTGTATAGTAGATACTCATCTAGGACAGCCTCTACTCAACTCGTCCGCTGGGAGCGCCGAGGTGTCAGTTTCCCAATACCGGTTGGCGTGCTTTGATGAACCATATTTTATACAGCGCCCCAGTGGGCCAATTGGCCATTTTAGGCTGACGAAAGTGAAGACGGAAATCTGTCGCGCATCATAGCATAGAGTACTTGTCAGAGTGTGGAGAAACGTGGGGAACAAACTTTTACGACTCCGCTAGCCCCACAAATCGTGGACAATTGCAGAGACAGCTGAAGTCGTAGTTTCGGATGGAGCTCGAATCTACGGTTCTTTTCACCCGTGGATCTGCGGGTCTGAAGGAGTATAGAAGTAGGAATCGGAATGGAGTGAAAAGGCGCCGTGAGTTGATCTGCTCATGAACTTCAAACTTGATACTGTTCTGGAGCAAATTATTGTGCTCTTGAGGTCTTAGATCGAGTTCCTACCGGGGCAACATTTGTGTAGGATCGGGAAGAACTAGAGCCTCAAATTTAAAAGTTGCCACCTCCTATCCAATCGCTGGACAATGGAGTCCGGTTCGAAATCGAAAAAGACGAAAATCTGAGCCTCTCCTATTCGTCCCCATTGATAAATTGAAGTTCGCTTTCCAAGTGTCCCTGCTTGCGCCCGGCGACCGATTGGAAACTGGACCGCTAAGGGAAGTTGCAGCGTGACCTTCGTCAGTCGCATCAAGTGCTCCCAGCAGACGGTCAGCTCCTTCTGAACATCGAATTGGACAAGAATGAGCGGGATCGCGGTGGAAATTAACTCTATCCGCCAGAAATGCCCATTTGGCTCAATGTGGTTCCATAGCGTGAACAATATATGAAGGCGAGCCGGCTCGCTCCCGCGGTTGCTGGCGATGTCCCTCGATTGGCTTCGCAGGCGAACGAACGGAGGAAGGCGCATGATTTAGTACAGTGGGCTACAGGTGTCAGAATGGAGAGGGAAGCCTCGGTTGGTCGTTGGGGTTATTGTTTGTTATATGACCCGATTCTCCCGCGGATCCCCGTCCGATTCTCTCAGAACATGAGGCTTCCGGAGCGGGGGTTCCTCGGCAAAGACGTTGATCCCAGGCCAAACAACACCTGCGGTGCCGTCTGTCCTTTCGAGGATGACATTCGTTTCGCCTTCCGCCGTATCGACTGCGGTCGCGGTGGCTGGCCAAGGTGCCATGAGTCCGGTTGATATGAGGACAGTGAGGTCGCCGTCGTTCTCCACGTCGGCCTCCTCGCCAGGGGGCGCTGAAGGCTCGAGGTCGCTCTGGAGGGGGCCCGGTGGCCTTCAGAGAAGACGCATGCGCGCGGAAAGCTCTCCGTGTGTGAGCACGGTGGCTGGCTATCTTACCTTGCTGGATGTGTCTAGCAGGCAGGCGGGCAGGCAAGCAAACCACTGAGCAGCCTGGCAAACAGATAGGCGCAGAGTCGACTGGCACTAGTGGCATCCTCTGCTCAGCGTGTGAGACCTACTCACAGAGTGATCGTTGTCGACTTGCCACTCGGTGACAAAGTTCGTCTTCGACAGTCGGCTGTATCTTTTCGAACAACGAACTCAACGATACCGACGTTTACTTCGCATTGATTGCTTCCGTTGTTGTTCTCGTTTCACTCAGTGACTCCAGGAGCCCTGTAAGCGGGGAACAGGACGGTGACAACCGTAATCTGTACCACGGGATCTGAGGTGAGTGCTTGATAGAAATATGCCGTTAGCAACGACGACTCATGCCTCGAGCATGGGTCTGCGTGACGTCGATGACGAGACAGACACTGGTTGCTCCTGTCAGCTCTGGGAATCGTCGGAGGAATTTCTCCGTCAGGAATACGAGGGGGACGTATGGCGTTTTCTGTCGTCTGTCTCCAAGCATCGCGCGGCGAGTTCGTGGCGTATCGAAAACTGTCATGACAAAAGTCAATCAGCTCTTGGTAATTGGCACGTCGACTAGACTTTCCCCCACCTGCTATGACGTAACACAATTGGCTCATCAGGGCTAGAACTATGTAACTCCGGCGACCCGCTCCTTGAACTGCGCGAGATCTTTTTCGAGGGAAGAACGCTCGTTTCACGTCCGCGTAATTCACTTGCGCAGTCAGGACGGCCGGCCGGGACGGAATCACCGTCCGGAAGAACTGGCTGACAGTGTGCTCCAGGGAGCGGAGAGTCGTCTCCGGTGAGCTCGGGGCGAACGAGTTTGACCCCTCTTCCGATGCCGTATACGTTCGAACACGGCTGAATTATGGAATTCAAGCTGTCGCGCAGCATACGCTTGTTTACGTCGAACGTCAGCTGTTTGCGACAATATTGACAAGCACGGGAGAATCGCTGATCTAACGTAGAAAATTCCTGTCCACTCCCAAGTCATACGAACATCGCGACCTCTTCGCCTCGAATGGTTTACACTTATTTTTTCCCGGTATTATTGCCACTGCGGGGGTAATTGTCGGTTGTGTCGGAGGTAGTTGTTGTCGCCGTTTGCTCCGTCAGGTTAGTCTTCCCTTCCGTTCAGTGTTGTTTTTCTGACTAATTAATCTCAGCGACTCGGAGGTTCCGGACCTCGGAGACCCGTAGCAAGGCGCTGTCTGCTCCCTGAAACTTGAGGATCGACGACGGGATTTAGCGGAGGGTCTCGCAAACTTCGCCGAGCGAATTCGGTATCGAAGTTTTTCGGGATCGATTGGGGATTTCTGATGCCTTGAATGCGGAGGCGTGGATCCGAGGGTGAGGAGCAGATCAGGAGATGGATCTTCCGAGAGGGACGTGATACAGGCCAGGACGAGCCGACCAGCCTGCTAGACGGGGCAACAGACCGGCCGCGTGCCCTAGTCGCGCGACAGCTAAATATAAAGGAAGTAGATAAATTTAGAAATGGTAATAATACATCGAATGAGGAGGCCGCCATTGATATTTATATTGCCGACGTCTGTGTAGCAGCTCGGCACTACCATCATCATTCCGAGTGACGAGACGCTTCGAGTCAGATCTAGGGAGGGCTCGCTACCTTTATAATGATTAGACGTCACGGCGATCAATGCGGTTGCCATCGTTTTCGTCGTGAACGTACCTTCCTCGCCGCTCCGGGCTCGGCATTTCCGGAGCCAGGAAGCGAGTATTAGTTTCCGAGGGAGGAAACGCGCGGTGAACATCCCATTCCCGGATTCCGATGGGAATCTGATAAGGCCTGCGTGAGTGTTTTTGCCTTTCCTCGATTCAGAACTCGGACATCCATCGAGGAAGCAGTTTGACCTTCAAGAGCCGAAAATCAGTGAGTCGATCCTCTTTGGATCTTCAGAAAAACGCACGCCTGGATTCCCCTCCGGCCTGGAGTCCGGAATCAGAAGCTCTACGCACAGCTCTCTCTGACATTCCACTCCCCAATATTCCCTAGTACTCTTCTCCTCAATCGTCTGTCAAGAGTCCTCTACGGTTTTTTTGCTAAATATATTCTGGCGTGTGAAGCATTTTTCCATCTGTTCTGTAGCTCCAGGTTGCCCGGCACGAAGCATCTGATTTCCATGACGGATGCCGAGCACTTCGAACGCATACCTTTGGAAAAAAGAGCCCACTGAAAGAAGAGAAATAATGCAGAACACTGTATTCGTATGCCTCAAGAGAATGCGTCGCTCAGCTTTGAATCTAGTCTGACACCGCCGACAGCCGGGGAACGAGTTGGGGGGGCAGGAGATCCCACCATTCTTTTGATCCTCGTCTTCCCTTCAGCACTACTTGTCTTCAGCTTCTGGAAGAACAAAGCCGAAACGTGTTTCCGCAGACTCTTTGTCCGGAAGAATGATACTCGAATGCCAGGGACCGGACAGGAGAGCAGAATCGACTCCACTGACCTCGGAGCCCGATGAAATCCTCCCGATCGGGAATGACGATTCGGTTTGTCATGACGATTCTCGATCTTCAGTCGACGCACTTTTAGCGGAGCCTGGAGCGGAACAAGAGGGGAACTTCGGACCGTTCATGCGAGTATTTCAAATTGTGAAAACATTCTGATCCGGCTCGAGACTAGTGGGAAGAATTCCGGGATCGGGATCTGCCCGAGCGTCTTTCCCATTTCGAGTCTCCGATGGAATTGTTTCTGAGCTGTCGGTGCTCTCAGAGAGATATCCGAAAACGAGGCGAGACATTTACGAGGTGACGCTGTCGTGATCGAAAGGGAGCGTACTTAGAGGAGGCTCGAGTTATTCGGTCGAAACAGGCAATCGTTGACATTCATGAAAGAAATCAAAGAGAAAAGGTTGCGACACTATCGCAGTTCTGTCATGGGAGTTAGAGGTTTTTCCTTACTCAGATGCACGTCTACGGCCGACAACCTCGATTTCATGAAGTGTTCCTCGCGGCCCCGCGAGCCGTGAGCGCAATCGAAAGAAGAGTTAAAACCGTCGAGGGAGTTCCGTGAAACTTCGACGGAGTACACTTGAAGTTTGTAGCTCCGTCAAGCTCTCGAC